TTAGCCTGCTAACGCGCCACCCGTGCGCTCATTTATATATTTATTTTCTCTCGCGCGCCCGCGCCTTTTGAGTTCATAAAGTCCAGGTAAGTAAGAAATCAGTCAACAAACACGGTGAGTAATGTCTTCTTGTCCTGTTATTGTCACCTGTGTCACATGTCATATGTTTAGTATAGCCTTCTCCGATGGCAATATAGGATTTATATGTGATAAATGCAAGGAGACAGTCAGGCTGACGGAGAAGATTTCAGAACTAGAGACACGCATCCAAACTTTAATTGAGGATGGTAAGAATGCTAGATCTTTAGATAGTGTTTTGGATGCGCATAGCATAGTGAACTCTTTACATGATACGGTTCCGGCTGAAGTAGAGCCCGTGCAGCAGGGCAGATGGGTTACTGTGAGAGATCACCGCTCTAGTCGCGGATCAAAGAACCACTCTTCCGTTCCGATTCCCATAACAAATCGATTTGCCCCACTCAGTGAAACACCCACTGAGAATTCTGTTGATTGTGCCCTGGTAATTGGTGATTCGATCACACGGAACGTGAAAATAGAGACACCAGCCACCATAGTCACATGTTTTGCCGGGAGCCAGAGCGCCTGACATCAAAGCAAATTTAAAAGTGCTGGCTAATGCTAATCGTAAATTCTCTAAGATCATTATTCATGTCGGCACTAATGATGTTCGACTCCGCCAGTCAGAGATCACCAAAATTAATATTAAAGAGGTGTGTGAACTCGCAAGTACGATGTCAGGCACTGTAATTTGCTCTGGCCCCCTTCCTGTGCGCAGGAGTGATGAGATAGTTAGTAGATTGGCCTCACTGAATGGTTGGCTGTCGAAGTGGTGTCCGCAGAATAATATAAAATTCATAGACAATTGGAAAAGTTTTTGGGGCAAGCCTGATCTGTTGAAAAGAGATGGTATCCATCCCTCCTGGGCTGGTGCTGCTCTTCTCTCTAGTAATTTGGCTCATAGTCTTAGAGCTAAAACATGACAATCTGGGGCTCAGGTCAGGAAGCAGACAGACTGGCTAAACCGACCGTCTGCTAGCGGCCTCACGTCACCAAGGTCAGATAAATCCCATCACATAGAGCCTCTTTCACCTAGATATCATCATATAGAGACTGTGTCTGTTCCCCGAATTTGGAAATCCAAAAAACGTCAGGTTAAAAATTTAATTGATGTTCAACAAATAAAAAACAGATATAATACAGATGAGCAAATGATAAAGCTTGGGTTGCTGAATATTCGATCCCTTACTTCAAAATCTCTTATAGTTAATGATATGATTTCAGATTATAATCTTGATATGCTGTGTTTGACAGAAACCTGGCTAAAACCAAACGATTACATTATTTTAAATGAGTCAACCCCACAAGATTACAGTTATAAAAATGAACCTCGTCTGAAAGGCAAAGGGGGAGGTGTTGCTGTAATTTATAGTAATATTTTCAAAACCACTAAGAAATGTAGCTTTAAATATACTTCTTTTGAAGTATTGGTGCTTAATGTAAAAATATATAGTGTAAACGATAAATCACATTTGAGAATTCTGCTGGCTACTGTGTACAGGCCACCAGGGCACCATTAAGTTTTTATCAAAGAATTTGCAGACTTTCTGATCAGATTTAGTATTGGCTGCAGATAAAGTACTAATTGTTGGTGATTTTAATATACATGTAGATAATGAAAAAGATGCTTTGGGATTGGCATTTAAAGACATTGTAAACTCAATTGGAGTTAGACAACACGTGTCAGGACCTACTCATTGTCGTAATCATACTCTAGATCTAATATTATCACATGGAATAGATGTTGATGCTGTTGAAATTCTGCAGCAGAGCGATGACATCTCAGATCATTATCTAGTCTCATGTAAATTACATTTAGCCAAGGCTGCAAAGCCGACTCCGTGTTATAAATACGTTAGACCTATAACTTCTGCCACTAAAGATTGCTTTATCAATAATCTTCCTAATCAGTTTCATCATCTCAGCATCCCAGATAGCTTAGAAGAACTCGATATTGCAACAGAAACGTTTAACTCTCTCTTTTCCAGCACTTAAGACGCAGTTGCTCCGTTGCGCTTAAAGAAGATTAAAGAAAATAGTCCAACGCCGTGGTACAGCGAGCACACTCAGGCCCTAAAGAGAGCAGCCAGAAAAATGGAGCGCAACTGGAAGAAAACTAAACTAGAGGTATTTCGGATTTCGTGGAAAGAGAGCTCAATTGCTTACAGAGAGGCTTTAAAAGCTGCTAGATCTGCTTATTTTTCAAACCTACTAGAAGAAAATAAACATAATCCTAGGTATTTATTTGAAACAGTGGCTAAACTAACGAAAAAGAAAGCTTCAAGCTCAGAAGTGTCAAAGCAACACGGCAGTGATGACTTTATGAACTTCTTCACTTATAAGATTGATAATATCAGGGACAAAATTATAACTATGCAACCGTCTACCACAGTATCGCATCAGGAAGTGCATTGTAGTCTCCCTGAGGAAAAATTTGATTTATTTGTTGCTAAAGGAGAGGAAGAATTCTGCAAACTCGTTAATTCATCTAAATCGACAACTTGTATGTTAGATCCTATACCGACTAAGCTACTGAAAGAGATGTTTCCAGAGGTCATATATCCTCTTCTTAATATCATTAATTCATCTTTGTCTCTAGGATACGTACCAAAAACCTTTAAACTGGCTATGATAAAACCGCTTGTTAAAAAACCACAACTTGATCCTACAGAATTAGTCAATTACAGGCCGATCTCGAATCTGCCTTTTCTGTCAAAGATATTAGAAAAAGCAGTATCTTCACAACTATGTTCCTTTCTAGAAAGAAATGATATCTGCGAGGATTTTCAGTCCGGATTTAGACCGTACCATAGCACTGAGACCGCTCTCATTAGAGTCACAAATGATTTGCTCTTATCATCCGATCGTGGTTGTATCTCTCTATTAGTGTTACTCGATCTTAGTGCTGCATTTGACACCATTGACCACAACATTCTTTTAAATAGACTAGAAAACTATGTTGGCATTAGTGGAATTGCATTAGCATGGTTTAAATCATACTTAACTGACCGTTATCAGTTTGTAGCAGTAAATGAAGAGATGTCTTATCGATCACAAGTTCAGTATGGCGTACCACAAGGCTCAGTACTAGGACCGCTGCTGTTCACTCTGTACATGCTACCAGTAGGAGATATCATTAGGAAACATGGAGTTAGCTTTCACTGTTATGCCGATGATACTCAGCTGTATATTTCTTCAAAACCCAACGAAACTTACCAATTCACAAAATTAACGGAATGCATAGCTGATATAAAAAATTGGATGACTAGTAATTTCCTACTACTAAATTCTGAAAAGACAGAGATTCTAATTATTGGACAAAAAACTTCCACACGTAATAACCCAGAATACTGTCTAACACTTAATGGCTGCTCTGTCAAGTCTTCGTCGTCGGTTAGGAACCTGGGTGTGCTATTTGATACCAACCTTTCTTTTGAAAGCCACGTGTCTAGTATCTGTAAAACTGCATTTTTCCATCTTAAAAATATATCTAAATTACGCCATATGCTCTCATTGGGAAATGCGGAACAATTAGTCCATGCGTTCATGACCTCAAGGCTAGATTATTGTAATGCTCTACTGGGTGGTTGCCCTGCACGCTTAATAAACAAACTACAGCTAGTTCAAAACGCCGCAGCTCGAGTTCTTACCAGAACCAGGAAATATGACCATATTAGCCCGGTTCTGTCAACACTGCATTGGCTCCCTATTAAACATCGTATAAATTTTAAAATATTGTTGATTACCTACAAAGCACTAAATGGTTTAGCTCCGCAGTACTTGAGCAAGCTCTTAACGCATTATAGTCCTTCACGTTTATTGCGATCTCAAAATTCCGGCCAGTTGATAATACCTAGAATATCTAAATCGACTGCTGGCGGTAGATCCTTTTCCTATTTAGCACCAAAACTTTGGAACAGTCTTCCTACCATTGTCCGGGAAGCAGACACACTCTGTCAGTTCAAAGCTAGACTAAAAACACATCTCTTTGACCTAGCATACACATAATACATTATAGACTTCTATAAATTCAATGTTAGGCTGCATAGATTAGGTCAGCCGGAACTGGGAACACTTCCCTTAAATCTTGATGTACTCGCTACATCATAAGAAGAATGGCATCTACGCTAATATTAGTGTCTTTGTTTATCCCGAGGTTTTCCCGCAGCCTGCCGGATCCAGGCCGTGTCCAGATCTGACGAAGGAGATTCGCCTGGACCCGATGACAATGCAGTGCTGAAGTATCCACTATCCTCTCCCTATGGAGGATCCCTTTCCCACTCTACAGATAAAGCGCTGTGAATTCCGGCTCGCGTACCCCGAAGTGATAAAATAAAACAAAATTCTGTATCAAAATTTATAGGCAAGAAAAGTAGTTTGTTTAGGCTGGGTTGTATGAATTACAAACCTGCGCACATATTTTAAAAAGCACATAACTATAGAATTCTGAATGAGCATGTGAACGCCGTCAGCGTTAATCACAGGTTCGCGTTTAAAGTCTGATCATTTCGACGGAGGTGAATCAATCAAAGTTAACTTTAGCTGGAAGTAACATTATTCAAGAACCGCTATAACGCCAAAACAATCTGTTACCTTAAATTATATGTTTATCTCTGTAAAGCTGCTTTGAAACAATTCATTGTTAAAAGCGCTATATAAATGAAGATGACTTGACTTGACTTGACTACTGTTGGTGTGCCTCCAGAAACAGGGTTGGGAAACACTACTGATTAACGGTTTCCACCGCTGGCCGTGGTTTATGCCAACAGTACACATTTTGGACGTGATTTTGGATCGTTTGGAGAACACAACACTACACTATGTTCAAGAAACCTGCAAATCCATTGATTTCAAAAAGGCACGAGGCAGAACACTCTTCCTATTAATGGACCGCAAAAAAAGAGCATATATTCTGAACTCACCCCTCTGAAGAGCCACTTCTCTGATGTAGAGAGGAGAGAAAACGACTCCTTCCTCTGCAACATCGGCCTGGTGGGAGAAAACAAGAGAAAGACATCAGACGAACAGGTGATTTACACTGCAGCAGCAGACACTAGCACAGATTGACATTAAAAACTCACACAGACTCAAGCTGCGCTCACGTTTACGGCTGTTTGGTGAACTTTCACAGGAGAAATCAAATCCATTCACTTCGATAGAGTGCTGCAATGATGGCGTATTTTTGTAAGCCAAAACCCAGAAACGAGTTAGCACTTTAGCACTACTGGTTCCAACGTCCTGAAATCTATGGTTTTTTCAATGGGGTTTTGGTTAAACGCCTGAAATAAGGTCTGTGGGTACCACAAGCTCAAGATATTTTCAAGTCTTATTCTACAACATAAAATACGTCACTAAAACCACCTTTTTTAAAGCTCTTACTTGTCTTTTTAAAGGTGATTCTGTCTAAACTGGACTCGGCTGTCAGGAATATTAAACGTCATCACGCCGAACAGGTGAACTCATCTCCTAGCCTCGTTGTGTATAAACACTTGTATTATAACTCTAACTTTCAGGGAAAATCTGAAAGAGTTGGTAGAAGATTAATGGTGGTAGTTATGTGACTGTGGTCACTAACATCAGTATTGGCCTACAAAATAGTCGTCACTGTGGCGCTCTGTAGGAATCCACGCGATTGGGAGTTTCGCGTGAGGGTGAAAAAGCTCAAATTGTCGACGCATATTCGCTGCCGCTGACCAACAGAAAGCGGTTTGGTTTGAAAGCGTCATTGCTGCACTGTCGATAATGAACAAAGGACAAGTTTTGCTCATGTGACTGGACCTTAAGAACGCATTTGTTCTTCCACTCTGCTGCTCTTCCATTGTTTTCTCAATGTAAACATGCGCTAGACGGATGCGTTTGATACTTGAGCTTGCGTCTTTTGCAGTGTCTGCCGTGTGACATGGCGTTCTAAAAAAGCAGCGTTCAGGTTAAAAGATGTTCAACTTTTAAAAAAAAAAGGCTGTCTCTTGAGTTTGACCTAGCGGTTTGTTTGTTTTTTAACCTCAAAAAGGTGTTCTGTGTGAATGGCCCCCTAAGACAGACTTATACATGACTGCTGCTGAATGATGGAAAACCACTTTGGTTTTCAGCAAGACACATTAGAGAACCGCTAGAGTCCAGGAAATGAAAAGGTGACGAGTTTTTCACTTGGATGGAGTGATTTCCATTGACTGCGGTTTTGTAAACAGGTAGACAGGTCTGTGTCAGTCATCAGTGTGGCAGGACAGGGGGAACGACCTTTTCCTGACCCAGATCCTCAGGTGAGGCCTTTTTGTCTGGCTATTGTGACAAGCTGCTGAGAAACATCTTTATTTTTGCACACGGTTCTCCAAATATTTGAGCTTGTAGCATTCATTTTTGTTGTCACACAAATGTGACATTTTAAAACGGAAAGAATCCTTAAAAGTCACCATGAAATCAAAATGGACAATTCCTATTTTCGAATGGGATATTGCAGTGTTTATTATAAATGATTTATCAGTGCACATCATTATTGTTTTAAATTCATGTTCTGGTAATCTTGAATCAGAATATCTTCCTCTTGCAGCATCTCTTCTCTTCTCTGATGATGACCAGCTAAATTGCTAATTGTGTTAGACTTATACAATTTCTTAAGTTGTTTTTAAAGTCAGGAATTGTAGTTCTTGAAACGGATAAGTATAACACACACACACATATATATATATATAATTTCTCCTTTCTCAAATATTTTCTCTGAAATTTAACACAATTATCAAGTATATCTTAAAAATATAATTTGTTAGTCAAAAACGAATTTCTTTTCATGAAATAAACAAACAATAGATGTAAACTTTGAAAAAAACAACAACAACAAATGGCTGGATTTTTAGTGGCATTAGTGGAATTGCATTAGCATGGTTTAAATCATACTTATCTGACCATTATCAGTTTGTAGCAGTAAATGAAGAGATGTCTTATCGATCACAAGTTCAGTATGGCGTACCACAAGGCTCAGTACTAGGACCGCTGCTGTTCACCCTGTACATGCTACCATTAGCATGACGTTAGTTTAATTTTCAACAATATTATTGATTTGACTGTACTGACGCTGTTGTATGTGAAATGAATTGAGCTGGACAATGACAATTTTTTCCAGAACTGCTTTATAGATGAAATTAACTAATTTAATAATTGTTGATCTTTACAAAAGAACTGAATCAACACTGAACTAACTTCAGCGCACATCATTTCAGCTGAAATGCATAATTTTCCTGTTATCACTGTAAAACTGCTTTAAAACAATCTGTACTGTTAGGCTGTAAATAATTAAAGGTGACTGACTCGTTTTTACCGTTACGCTGATTATACTCTGCACTATATTTCTTCGTGTAATGATGAAACATACCAATTCACAAAATTAATGGAATGCATAGTTGTTATAACATAGTTGATATTTTATTAAGTTAGTGTATTATTATTATTTATAGAGTGAAAACTAAAGTGATCAGATCAATGTATCACATGACCTCTCACTGCTTATTTAGAAGCGCACCTTATATATGGATCGTGAAGGTTTGTGTGTTTGTGGAACTGAAATTTGAAATGTAATATCAGGACTTACTGTTCAATATCTTTAGCTTAATCAAGACATTAGGATCCTAAACTCAGATTATCCCCATGGTTCTCTGAACTCAAAGACATTGATAAGCCACATAATTTTAGAAAGCTGGACACAGACACACAGACACACACACACACACACACACACACACACACACACACACACACACACACACACACACACACACACACACACACACACACACACACACACACACACACACACACACACACACACACACACACACACACACACACACACACACACACACACACAGATATCGGATAGATACTAGAGAGCATTTGATTGGACAAAACCTGATGAGAGTGCAGAATGATGCCATCATAATGAGACTGCAAGACAACAGTGAACAGTTGTGCTTTTTTAAACTAACGTTAACAATTGATAAATAGTGTTAAATAATAAACATGTTGCTTATTGTTAGTTAAAATTAGTCATTTCATTAACTAAAGTTAACTAATGGGATATTATTGTAAAGTTTTACCAATTACCCAGATCCTAAGTGAGTTAGTTATAGTTAGTTACCGGTAGTTATTATAGTGTTATTTATAAAGCGCCTTTCCCAAACTTGAGGCACATTCCCTCATACATTTTTTAAAAAGTCCATTGAGTGTAAGACATGCTATATAAATCTAACAAATTATTATTTCAAATGTTAGAAAGAACACCTTATGGATTAAAAAGATATGTAGACCATCTGCATATTTCATACACACAGAAAATCACACAATTGCACAATATATATAGTATAAAATGTTATAAGTATGATTATTACAGTATGCCATTCTGGTTCATGTTTACACCAGATAGTGATCTCTAATTATTTACTGCCATCTAGTGGCCAACATTCAATCTCACCTTTCAAAACAAGTCTGAATCTTTGAATCACTTCAGTAGACTAATATCTATCTGTCCGTCCGTCCATCCGTCCATCCATCCATCCATCCATCCATCCATCCATCCATCTATCTATCTATCTATCTATCTATCTATCTATCTATCTATCTATCTATCTATCTATCTATCTATCTATCTATCTATCTATCTATCTATCTATCTATCTATCTATCTATCTATCTGTCTATTATAGACTTAGCCACTATTATAGACTGAGATAAAAAGCTCAAAACATTTTATCTGGCAAAAACTATTAAAAGCTATGTTTCATTTTTTTGTCACAGCAACCCTTCTCTTTTCCAAAAAATAATACAAATAATAATAAAAAATCCTTATGGCATACATTTTATTACATAAAAGTTTAAAGTAGGGAAAGTTGTTGTCCAGAAAAAGTGTCTCTGGCTATTACTCAGCGATGGGAGTTCAGGAAGCAGTTTCCTGATCTCTGCACTCTTACCTGCACAGGAAACACACACTAACACACACACGCACGCACGCACACACACACGTCAGGTCCACTATCTTTGTGGGGACTCTCCATAGACGTAATTTTTATACAGTACAAAGTGTATATTCTGTCCCCTTACACTCACCCGACCCCTAAACCTACCCATCACACACACACACACACACACACACACACACACACACACACACACACACTAACCCAACCCCTAAACCTACCCATCACAGAAAACTTTCTGCTCTTTTACATTTTCTAAAAAACATAATTTAGTATGTTCATTAATCAATTTCCCTCGCGGGGACCATTGGCTAGTCCTCACAATGTAGGTGATTTCAGGTTTTACTATTCTTGTGGGGACATTTGGTCCTCACAATGTAATATAAACATGAGCACACACACACACACACACACACACACACACACACACACACACACACACACACTATCGGAGGAGATCAAACATGTTTGATATTTTGAGCAGATTTTAGAACATGTTGTTTTCATTTGTGAGTGAGTTTTTTGCATTCAGAACAAGCTGAAAGTCTGGTAGAATATTACGATGGCCAGTATTTTTTCTGTAACCATTTACAAAGTCCGCAAGTGTATGATGCCTAGTGTTTTAAAATTTCAGCTTTCCAGCCTTAAATCTCAATTTAAGCAGTCCAACCATTGTATTGCTTAATTGATTGTTTAATTGAGCAATGAACATGCATGTGAAAATCATAATTCAGTGCTGAACTACTTCTTTTTTTTTTTTTTTTTGTCTGAGAAAATTAGAAAAACTAAACAATTGGTGTAGCAAAATACAAACAGAACCACCAGTACACACAGTCAAGATTAGACAATGAACAGAACACTGAGTTCAAATACACAAGCAAACTAATAAAAGAAACGAGACACAGGTGATACAACTCAATCAATCAATGAAAAAACATCTCAACAAACTAAAGAACTCAAACAGAACAAACGAGACATAACCCTTACAATAACATTATAAGCGGATCTCAGGGAACATTATTAAAT